TWWYAWTATTATCATTATTGTTATTATTATTATTATTACTATTATAGTTCCGGTCCTGAATAACATATGAAATAGATTATTCAAATAAAATAAATAAAATCAATGCTTCAAAGCAAACGACGCACGAATAGATTCAGGAAACTAATTTGAAACGTTCTTTTACTCGTTCTTTTCAGGAAACCTTCGTCAGGATCATCAGTGAAAGAAAATATAATTCAATTCGAGCAAGAACCAACTCAGCATGGCGCTATTCCACTTGTCCCTACATATGAAGTCCAGTCCTTGAGTATGGAACTAGGTGAAGAGCCTATTTTGCAAGTGGAGGGTGTTAATAAGACCACTTCGAATGATGCAATTTTCTCATACGACAACAAGGTAACTTAAACAGCGAGAGCATGAACATAGATAACTTTTTTGTTACTCTCTTTTAAGGTTAGAGCATGGGAAGGAACACTGCGACTGCAGTGCCTTCTACAGATCAAGACCCAAATTCTTATTATTTTATCTGGTCATCGAATTCAAATACAAGGGAAATGTTTGGCGCGTGTTTTGAGTTATGGATCCAAGAATAAGGTCTTCGAATTTTTACATTCACGTTATGGAGGCGTCTTCGTGTGAAATGTTCATGGGAATATCAAGGACATGTTTCTTGAGTATGTCCACCCTAAGCTAGAGAACTTTTCTCCCAAAATGAAATTTACAGAATGTCATATGAATGAAAGGGGTGCTAATCAATCTATGATGTACTTCCTTGAGGTAAAAACTATTCAGACAGAACACGGCTTGGAACTTGATAATAAATATTACGTCTACCCTTGCCGAATGTATGCTAAATAATTGTTTTTTTTTTCAGATTTTTAGTTTTGACCGTCACGTGGGTTTAGCCAGCAAAGGCCAGAGTAATCTGCTATAAGTACCTAAGACATGTTAATTGTTTAAAACCCTAGCATCAGTATGTATTTTCTCCCTAGTGTTCGCTATACATTTCCTTAGGTGATGACAGGAAGAATTTTTTTAATCAAGAGCTTCTTTAGTTGATGATCATTTCATTTATTTTCACGACCCTAATAAACGTGATTTATTCAGAAGTGATATTATGAGGGGAAATGAGATGCAAGTTATTCCAAGCGGTCCAAGGGCTAGGGGGTGCCTTTTTATGATGATTGTTAAAATATTGACTGCCGCGTTTTGAAATTAAAAAAAAAAAACCGCCATGATACAGTTTGGCAAAATTGGAGACAGTTTCGCCACTTTCGAGATAGATATATATTGCCTTGACATGTATAAATTTAAGAAACAAGTAAAAAAAATTACAATTTTTTTCGCCTTCAATATGTGAAAGCGTTTTGTCACTGAAAATATATTTTTGACAATTCTCTAGTTGCGTTCGAGATATTATCAATTGTTGACCTTGTCTTGGTAGCTATTCACTTTCATATAATGAAAGGGAATTGATGATCGGAGGAAACAGTGTATCTTGCTGATCAGTTATAGAAAGGAAAAGGGGAATGCTAAAGAATATTGAAAATTAATATTCTCAGAAGCTTGATACATTTTCATGCAAGGTCAACTTACTTTTCACGCTTGGTAAATCTAGTTTTTATTTGTGTTCAGTAGTTGTGTTATTGCTTTGTAGTTGAATGAAAAAATTCTCTGGGTCTTTTTCAACAATAAAGATGTATATTTTGGAAAAAGAACACGTGCTTTGGAATGAACTTTAGTCGAGGTGTGCCGCTTTTTAAAAGCAACCTTTAGGGGTGGGGGAAGGGGGGTATTCTTTCCCACGCTACCCTCTTTCCCCACCGTCCACTCCAATTACAGATCAAACATAGCCGGCCGGCTAAACAATCGCTAGCTTGTAACACTAATTCGACCAAACAAGAAGCTTGCATTGCAGGCCACCACCCCAGCAAGCTACTACATTTTATAATCCCTTTTAGCTTATCAGTTTGTATCAACAATTTTATTTGCCTCTTATACGTTTTTTTTTTGTCTGTGAAGACTAAGAGCTACTTTCGGACTATGAATGGGTACTCAGGCAGAAGTTTAATTTATTCTCCAAAGCTTTGTAGCAACTTGGCTTAACGATCGACCCAATTATAAGTATTTTAATTTTCTCGCAGCAAATTTAAAGAAATGCTTTATTTCTATTCACATGTCGAACAACAGTGAAAAGAGTTGGAAAGCTTATCGATTTTAAATGTGATATCCTATTTTGCAAGCTTCTTATTCAGTTCTAATTATTGTCTGGCTTAGGCTTGTGGCCGACAAAACGCGTGCTATGATTGGTTAAGAGCGACATCAGACCAGGGCATTGCACAGCAGTAATGCCCACCGGCTGATTATGTTGCATAATCAGCAATTCACGCCGCCATTTACGCTAATTAGTGTACATTGTAGTGTGACCGTAATACATGCAGAGTGCTAGCAGGTATAAAACTCGTGAATTTTGGCCCTACATTTTATTACTTGGATTAGTGTGTGCGCGAATAAAGAACTTTGTTTTTACGGTACCGAGTAGTTAACAGTAGAAGTTAGAAAGAGCACAAATCAAGAATTATTAACTGAGGCATCAGCATCCTGCGATTTGCTTTGGAAATAGCATCTTGAAACAGCGCCATAAGCGGATCATAGAGTTGTCGGCCAAGTGCTTTACTCACCCTGGCTCATAATACCCAGCACCACAGTCTTTTATGCCGCGTTTCAGTCTTCATTTTATCCAAGAGTTGTCACGAAAGAGTGGATAGTGAGCCACGGACAAGTGAGACAGAGGACTGTAAGAGAAGGGATCAGAGTGGACAAAGCAGGTGCACTCCCCCAGCTATTTAGCAGTGTGTGGAAAGGTTCTTTTTCATGACGACCGTGACGGAGGCTATGAATTCCTTAATTCTACGGCCGCAAGAGATTCGTTTCAGGAGAACAAGGTTACGTCAGGAGTATGGCCACGCGCTTTTGGACTCCGCAATTCTTGGTACTTTTAGCCTTAATTTTCAAGCACAAATGGAATCCAGTGAGAGGAAATCACTCCAATGGCACTTGCACAGATTTCAGCTTATCCGTAATCGAAGAACCGGTATTAAGAAGTATTTGGTGTTTGGCGAGCTTTGATAGTCAACTTCACAATCATTTCACAAGATGGCGTCGCTACTACTACGGCATTCGCCCAAGCTTCACGAGTTTACTGCTTCTAGGAGGGGATATAGAGTTGAATCCCGGCCCAGCTCATAAACTAAAAGTGGCTTACTTTAACGCTAGGTCTTTGGTTAACAAGTCCGCCTCCTTGGAAGTCGATGTATATTAAAAAAAACTTCGACATCATCGCCATCACAGAGACGCACTTAGATCAATCAGTAAACTCTGCAGACCTATTCCCATCGAACTTTCGTATTTATAGGCGAGATAGAAACCGAAGAGGCGGCGGAGTTTTAGTAGCCGTAAGCGATAAGATTATCTGTAACCAGCGAGATGTATTTGAAGACTCATTCTTTGAATGATGTATGTCAAGCATTAAAAGTTCAATGTCAAAGTCTTTTGTGTCTGATGTGTTTTATAGACCACCGGCAAGCGACACCGGTTGTTCAGAAATACTAAAGAAGAACTTGGAGCTTCAAGCACCGCAAGCAGAAATTATTCTACTTGTAGATTTTAACCTCAAGGACGCGGACTGGAACAATAGGTTAATGCTGAACAATTCAGTTGATTACGAATTATTTTCGGACATATTATCGGATAATTTCCCAACTCAAATGGTCCTGGAACCTACAAGAGGAAACAACATTCTTGATCTTGTCCTGACTAATAATAGTGATATGGTTTGTGGCACCGAGGTTGGTGAACCAATTTCGGATCACAATATTATTACTTTCAATGTGAATGTTCATACCTATCATCGCAAATCATCTGAAAGAAAATTTTACAACTTTAACTAGGGATGTTACTAATACTGGTAACGGGAAACGAGGAACGGGGAACGGAGGTAAAGCGGTAACCCGTCTGAGAATTCAAAATGGCGGAGTAAAGGGAACTAAAAGGGTCTGACAACTAGTTTTGAGCACGTGATCTTCAAACGCGATCGTCGAAGCAAAAAGGATGGACGGTAAGTGTAGGTTTTATTGAAGGATTTTACTTTGAAATGTTGAGTGCCTCATAAATTTAATTTTTGTCTGGCACACATTGCAGGTTGCATAGAAATCAAATCCTCGGAGAGGTGAGAATCTTGCAATTCATGCACAACATTTGAACAATCAACTCAGAACTACAAGCTATTTTTCTTTAAATATTTACATGTTGGGTTTTGTTTAACTGATATGTTGAGTTTTAAATGACAGTTGTTTTTTCTTTTTTAAACAGTAAGTCGTGTCGCTTAAAATGATTTCTTATGAAATTGAAAACAACGTCTAAGAAGGAAAATGCTATTTATTGCAGTAAAAGATAATTTTAACCTGGGTTGGTAGACCTTCATATTAATATTTCATATTTTTTTAATATTTTAGCATGTCTTCAAAGAATAAAAGAAATGAAGCTCTTGATTATTAGACACATTCTCCTTGTCAGCAAAGTTGGACATGTATGGAGAACAGTTAAGAGAATATACATACTGATCAACATTAGGGTGTATAGGGTTAATTACCTCAAGTGATGTCATGTATCCTGCCAATTTCTAGACCACACCCTCAAAGCGTATTGTGTCGACAGTAGGACGGAGGACAAAACAGACATGAAGAGAAGGGCATTCCGAGAATATTTGGCATTTTCTATACTGATTGAACAACCAACAAACATGTGACCAAGAGCATTACTAAAACAAAGATGTAAAATAAAATATCAATTTTACATCAGAAAAGACTTGTATGCCCTCCTTAGCCTCAACTAGATTTAAAGTCAGGCATGGTACTTGGTCTTATAACATTTGAGTGAAAATCGCTGATTAGTAACCCTTTAATTTCCAAGATCTAGGTGTCAATTCTCCCTTCTTGCTACACATTTCCTTGTAATTTAATTTCCTTGTAATGAAAATATGGTGTTAGATCAGTAAAGTGACCTCTACCTGATAAATTTGAGTATTCTCATTACCTGTTTGTTGGATAATGTATGCATATCATATGGAGAAGTTACAAGTTTATCCCTTCTGGGAGTTAAAGGATTAACAAGGAATAGATCAATGTCAGTATGTGAGCAACTGCAGACCCACCCCTCCCCTAACAAAACATTAACCCTTACTTGTCACCGGTTGACTGTTGTTGGGCTAGATGAGGGGGAGGTCCAACAGTTGCTCACTAGGTATTAACATTTGATCTGAAGAAATTTTCATTCACAAATCATTTAAAAACTGTCATTCTGTGAACATTCTGTCTTCATCCTCTTCGTGATCCGTCCTGCGATAAAGGATGCAAAGTTAATTGTCAGCCACAGAAAATAAAGAGCTAGGTGCTCTCCATAATGTTTTGGTGACAAATTCGATTTTGTATGATACAAAACCCTCGTCGTTAAGGGACACAGAGGTGACATAGAATAACATCCAATTTTCAGTAAGTAGATATACATTTACCTTCTTTTGCTTTCCCAAAACACTATTCATCATTTAGAGTTGAAACAAAACCTCAAGACCAGCCATTCGAACAAATCGAAACGGATTGCTTTGTTCCCTTAAGTCTCTAAATGACATGCAATCATTCTAAAACAAGTTCCGAAACTTCAAACAAGGTTTATTTCTACAGCATTAGTCTTATTACAAGGATTTTCTCTTAACTTAAACGATCAGTTTAGTCAACTGACTTCTTGTTTAGACACTTCTGGTTATTTGACAGCCTGAAATATTAAGAAACAAAGCTTCATTGAAAATCGTAAGACTAAAACTTATTCAACCGCTTAATATAAATTTCAAGGAAAAACGGAGTAATCCAAACTCCTGAATCTACATTTTTGCCTTTTTGGAAAGACTGCGACGAGTTCTTATAGTATCAAACTCCAAAGTAACGCAGGAAAAGATTTACTCCTAGATCAGTACCGAGTAAACATCAGTAGTTCGAAACAAATCATTATTCATTAATTTGATTTTCGAAATCCCAACAACTACCTTGCTAGACTCTTCAGCAGCATAAGCCCAAACACTTTAAATCAACACTGAATAACCAAACATTGCTTGGATCGATTAAAGTTTCTATTTCACTAACTGTTCTTCATCCTTGTCATGATCCGTCCTGCAATCAAGGAGGCAAAGTTAATTGTCTGCCACAGAAAATAAAGAGCTATGTGCTCTCCATAATGTTTTGGTGATAAATTCGATTTTGTAAGATACAAGACCCTTGTCCTTAACCCCGGGGGACTGAAGGTGGTGGGGATTTTTTAACACAATTTGGGACATGCCTGTACTAATTAAGCTGCCAAAATTTTTTATATGACAGAGACCTATAAAAGATACATTTTTGGTAAAGAGGAGATTTCGCACTTTCATTCAGTGTTATGAACTATTACATGCGTCTTACTAAAATATTATGAAAAATCCAGAAAGGCAACAAAATGGGTTTTCTTCATAAACTATACTCGAATTGAGGAACAAAATTGAAGTGGAAATTTTGTTAACACAATAATTGTTCCCAATATCAAGTTCTATGTACACTGAAAACTTTTCTTAACACTAAACAAAACAATGTTCTTCTTTTAACCATATTTTAATTATAATAATAATAATATAATA